TGTTGCTTGTTTTTAAAGAATTGTTGTTACATTAAAGTAAAACATACTTCAACAGAAAATCCACTGCAAGGATAGATACATGTTTTTTTGTAACTACAACTTCATTATCCACTAATAAAATTGCAAGATTGGAAAAGTGTTGTTGATAGGGACCTGGTATCAATGCGTGACCTACCTTGACATGCTGAGGTAGCAGGCACTGAAAATGGCCATCCCAGCATGGGGCAAGACACCAAGGATGAGCTGGTTAAAACAGGGGCTGATGCATTCATTCTGCCACAGAGGAAGAGGATCCTCTTCATCTGTATGACAGAGGCCTGCAATCAGGTCTGTTGGCCCAAAGTCATTCATCCTTCTTCCTACTTGACTGCTGTCATTCTAAAAATTATCTGTAGAGGAAAAAATAATATTATTTATCAACTTTTAAAAAAGGTAACAAGGGTGTTTCGAAGAAAACCCACAGGGTAGTTATTATTCTAGAAAACATTATTTTTTAAAAAAGAAGAAGAATACAACAATTTGTTGGCACTATCATCTTCCTATCAGTAAATAAGACAACATTTTACCATTGGCAGAGGCCACCGATCATCTGTTATGTCCCGTCAATTCTGCAGTCCATTTTTCTGAGATCCAGGTTCAATAATTCACATATTTATTCATAAATCCCTGGGTTGAAGACAGTACAGATAATTTCAGTAATGAAAAGGTGATAAAACTACAAAATAAACAAAAACTAATGTACTAACAGCAGCTATCAGCTAAATTTTAAACACAGCTATGTCCCTGAATTTTGTAATCTGTGCACGCCTAATGAAAGTGAACATATTTTCCCAAAGCCAAAGTTTGAAAAATGGCAGTATAAAAACAGTATAATAAATAACCAGATTATAGTTTAGGCAATAGTCCTGTATGATTAATTTTATTGCAAGAAAAAAAAGGGGCATCCATCTATTTCTTAGCCTCTTATCTATTTCAGGGTTTTTTTAAGGTTGTGTAGCTGAGCGTTTTAAAAAACAATAGGTCAAAAGGTATCGAAATTTGTGTTATTTTGAAATACAAGCTATGATCATCCTTAGCTTGATCAAGAACTTTTCATATTTCATTCTGAAATGTTCAAATCCAAGTACACAGTTACATTAAGGATATAAAATGCAGCTAGACTCTTTCCATAACTATGTGTTTTATGCCTGTGACAGAATCATCTAGACTCATTAGCGGTTCATTTATGCACCTAACTGCAAAGAAAATGTAAGGCTTTAATGTTTTCTGTAACATTCGTGTTTCCTTGTTTACCAGATTGTTTACCAAATAAACCTTTCGTGAAAGACCTGTTGTTATAGTACAGTCTCTGTTGTGTGTGAGCCCTTCAAGAAGTTTAAGGGGCAAGTTAACAACTCTGGATTAAAAAACGTTAACATACAATTTGTTGCAATTTTTTAGGTGTTGTTGCTCCAACACTCACAGCACTAACCTTTAAGGAGTGACGAAGCAAAAAGAAACATGGAACGACAGACAGGCACATTTATCCGGTCTTCCTGACTGAAACACCCTCACACTAATGTAAACAAATTAGGCTAGCAAACTAGCTTAGGTAACGGAATATTACGCTATTAAGTTTTTTGATGTTACCGCATGCACTATGTAAATAGAAACTTTAGCGAGCTAGACCAACTATAAATACAAGTCGACATACAACTAATTTAAGAGCATTTAGACCACAGGACTTTAAATGTTACCGGCTTTCATCTAGCTAACAGGAAATGGATCTGTTGATTTCTGATGACGAGTACAAAGAGCTTTTCAAAATAAATGCTCGATGAAAAAAAACACAGTACAAATAAATGCTGATACTAATTCTACTGTTACTGCTACTACTAATAATAAAACTGATGATGATGACTAATAATAAAATAATATTAACAATAATTCAAAAACTCATGGGAGCAACAACAAACCCGGAATTCAAAGTCATTAAATGTTTTTTTCAAAACAGAAATATAGATCAACCTTGAGAAATCTGTGTATAAACTTATTTGACTTGACCATTAGTAGAGTGTTCTCATGTTATGATATAGAATTCCTTTAAAAATTATTTTAAAAAAAATTGTTATGGCACTAAAATCAGTAATGATGCTTCTTTAAGGCTTAATTATCCAAATAAGGCTGTTACAGCCTACCAGGCATAAAAAAAATGTGCTTGGTTGTGATTTATTTACACAAAGACCACGATTATCCTTCTATTCCTGACAAACAATAATCACATTAAGTATGAATATAATTAATCTATTATTAGTCCCAAAATGAAAGTTAAAAAGAGTGACGCAGTTGATAAGGTATGAGTTCTTTATTGAGGGGGGGGTGATGGTAGAAAAGGAGCAAACTATGTTTTAGCACCTTTATACAACTTAGAAAATTAATTGCTGGTTCTCTTGGTTCTCCTGATATACACAAAAAAAGGTTTGTAGAACACTTTATGACATATAGGCTTGGAGAAGAAGCATTTCATTCACAGAAACCAAGCAACAGAAATGACTTAATTCAGGGGAAAAAACACATTATATTTAATTACAATCAACATTAAATTTACAAATTTTGGAACCTGGGAGTTTAATCAGTGCACATGACATTAGCATGTAACATAAGTTAAAAACACAAAACAAAATTTTACAAATGTTGTTACCTGGAATTAGAAAGAAAAAAAAACATCTTTAAATACTGGGTGCAGCTGTCTAAGGCATCTTTAATTCATAGAAAAAAGATCTAGAAGTCTTATACAAAGCAGGAATGAAGCTATACAATGTCACATATATATGTTTTTTTTCCTTAAAACACTGTACAAAGTCCACTTCCTTCAAGGCTGGCTACGCCAACCACAAAACTATGCAGCTTACCAATTTTTAATATCCTACATTTACCGTGTCTGACAGACACGTTTTATTTACATATTCAATCATGAAATATAAACATAAATATGAGCAGCCTCTGTCTCTCTCTCTCTCTCAACGTCACCTTTTCAAAGCACTTTGTTCAAAGTGCTTTGAAAACAAATCGGACTTGAGCTTTTTTGGTCAAATTTCTCCGCTTTGCACAACCTGTAGCAAGCCTGCACCATCTACCAGAAACAAACCTCACTGTGAAGCTGCTCTGCTGGATAATTTGACCAAAAAAACCTTGTTAAGCAATGACTTAATGTACTTCTTGAAATAACTCCCCGGCAATTTCAGGCTTCAAACTCACTGCTGACTTGTTAGAAAACGGTCAGCTTATCTTCATAACATCAAAATCACTGAGCAAATGTACATTTTCTGTAAAACAAATGAGATTAAAGAAAGTTATATCAGTACTGTGCAGCAGGGCTAATGCTGGTCATCTGTACATCACAAAAACATCTTAAGTGTTAATTTAGAATTAAAGCCATCATATAGCTGGAAAACACTGTGTAACTCATAGAAGGCCTGAGAAAGCTTTATTTTTTTCCTGTTTTTTTGCATCTTGTGACATGATTGTCAAGTCAGGCCAAATAATTAAAAGTCTGATCTTATATACAGCAATGCATAGGCTACAATTCATCAAATCTGAACAATGAAAGAAAGACTAAAGTGTAGTTTTGTTCATTTTTTAAATGAGTAAACTAGGAGAAAGTGTTGCAGGTACCAAATTTTTAGGTTCTTTAGTTTGAGAAGGATGAACATGTTTCCTGCCACGATGAAACGTGAACTATTCAGGTTAAAAACAGGTAATAAAAGAAGCAGAAATCATTAAGTTTGTCAAAGTTAGATGTCAACTATGAACATGCAGCCATTTAAGAACTCAAATAAAATCAATCTAAAACTAAGACTGGTTTGACTTGGAACTAATGTGATTAATGACTGGATGGCTAAACTTCAGGAGCTATACAAAAATAAATGGCAATCTGATACACAGCCCTAGAAGTAAGTGTACATGTCTTGTTATACATTGTAAATAACCAACTATGTAGAAACAAAGTGTGGACCACAGATGCAAGAGCATGTTTTGCATTTGAGTTATCAACTCTTCTTACTGCTAATATTTCACCAAATTAAATCTTTAGCGTCTAAACTCAGTAAAACTTAGCTCATCAGCAAAAGTCTTTCTATGCATTTCTGGGCCATCTCACCAGCCTTTAACAATTTTATTTAATTTTCCTGATATTTGAAACTTCTTGCAGTGCCTGTGTAAAGGTAGAGAATTTTAGGTAGTATAAATACATAACTATCAGACATTTTCCTGATAAACTTGAAAAGAACAATGGTACACTCTCAAACATTTCATCTATTACACACAACTCATGATAAAAGAGCACCAACTGTCTCAACTCAACAGAGGAAACACCTGGAGCCACCATGAGCAGTGTGTAAATTTTCATTGTTGAATTTTAAGATACTTAATATGTTTCCTCCACATCTTTAGCAACAGCTTCCTCCTTGTGGCTTAAAGAGGTTAGATTCTGCTTTTCCTTTATCCGTTTCATGGTTTACAAAACTCCATCCTCTTTACTTTGGTGTTCCACAAGGACTAATTCTTGGAGTATTATATTTTCTAATTAATTACCCTTCCTTAAATTTAAACAATCAATTTCCCAACACAATTCCCAACATTAGCCAACTTTGCAGATCGCATCATATTGCTGTATTTAGATCACTACTGGTAACCAGGGACCTACCAGAGCTCACAGAAATGATATACTGTTATAACTCCAGCACTTCCTTAATTGTGGTCTGTTTGGTTTTTTTTGTGATTTATTTTTACATTACTGGGGGAAGGGGGGGGGGGCTCACCCTCAATTTCTGAAATTTCTTAATATTCTGTAATAAAGAGTATGAAGGTTTTTGTGGTAGAAGAAAAAACAATATAAAAGAGTGAAATTGTAACTGATGATGTTGGGTTTTCTAAAAGTAAAAAATAAAAGAAAATCTGTATATGTTCTTCCACCAGAGAAGTAGAGGAGTTCATAAATAATCTAGCAGAGTTAAGCATTTAAATCTAAAGCATTTTTACCTTACAAATTCAGTCACAGTAATCTGTCCACGTGTTCAGACCAAATGGGGAAAGAAAACGTTTACAAAAATGGTCAATAAATTTGCTGAAAGTCTGAAGTCCACCAGGAAGGGTTCCTTTGTACACCACGCTACACAGTGTCCTTGAAGAGTGACAGGGAATCCAGCATTTCATTCTGGAGAGTTTCCCATTGTGGGATAAGTCACAAGCACAATCCCTTGGTCTCATCTCCACTGCCCATCCTTCCTGTAACACAGTTACTTTCTGAGTTTTTGTATCTGTATACCGTCTGCTCACAAGTTCTTGGTGTTTATGTGAGTCTTGTAATGCTTTGTCAGGTGGTCGCTCCGCATGAAGCGTTTCTGACACTGGCTGCACTCAAAGCGCTTGTCTCCTGCGGGAGGGAAAAAAATGTATTGAGTAATATTTTTAATGCACGTTCAATAATGAAGAAACAATAGGTGTTTTTAAAAACATAATTTATAAAAATGTCTGGATTGTTAAGTTTTTAAGTGTATTTAGCAACTCTGTGTGCCTATTTTGCCTCTGTATGTGAAGTGAAGTTTAATACAGAGTGATTTGATGATTCCGTTTGTTTGTGTCCAGAGCACCTGTGTGCGTCCTGGCGTGCCTCTGCAGCTCGTCACTGCGCGTGAAACGTTTCCCACAGAAAACCCAGTTGCAGACGAAGGGTCTTTCACCAGTGTGCAGCCGGACATGAGCTCTGAGCAGAGATGTTTTCCTAAAAGTCTTTTCACAGCCAGGGACGTGGCAGATGTGTTTCCTCTTTCCCACCTCACTGGGTCTAAACAGTGAACAAAATTCAAACCCTTTATCAGTATGAGAGTTTTAATAGTCTGAGTGCTAAAAAGTATAATATGACCTTCCCAAAATGTAGAACTGATCCCAACCCATCCTTTGACAGACTCACCTCTTGTCAGCATCTTTACAGTTGGGGCAAGTGCAGGCCATGCGTCGTTTCTTTTCTCCTGGCTGGCCAGGCAACTCCAGGGTGAGGGTCTGGTCTACCTGAATAGCAGGCTGGCCCTGTGCTGCGGCCAGCTGGAGCCCTCCACCCTGCATGGTTTGCACCGTTAGGTGCTGCTGGCCTAACAAACGCAGAGACTCATTGTAAGACAAACAGCAGGGCTTCTGCAGGAGCTGGATAATTCAGTTTACTGCCATCAGTGAACTGAAATTCTAATCAACAATAAATTAAGATGCGAAAGCTATATGTTGCAAAATAAAATTTCGTTTTTGTTTTAGAGTTTTTAAACACATTGCAAACTTTCAGCTGCTTTTGCTCTTTGACTGAGGAAAAGGTCAACATTCTTCTTTATTAACATAAATAACTGACAACTGATAAAGTTATTTTATCCATCCGTTTGACTGCTTATCTGGGTTTGGGTTGGAGGGGCAGCAGACTTCCCTCACCCCAGCCAACTCTTCTTCATCTGGACAGACAAAGAGTCATCCCCAAGCCAGCCAACAGATATAAACTCTCTCAGACCCAGGTCTGCTATCTTTAACACCAGACCTGGGTCTGACCTGAGGCCTCTTTCCAGTAGGAGATGCCCAAAACACCCCACTTCAGAGGCATCGATAAAGCATCCTCATCAGACGGTCAAATCATTTTTCAATGTGGAGGAGCAGTGCTTCTATTCTCAGTGAATGTCTTTAGCAGCAATAACATGAAGTAATTGTTTTCTGTATAACTATCAGCCTCTCACATTGTTATGGACGAGTCTGACCGACGCTTCTTTACAAGGTTGCTTCATTGAGGTTCGTGGACGTGAATTTACACTAAGCTCTCTTAAAGTCTGATCACAGCATTTTAATCAGGATGAGAGCTGGACTTTTACGGAGCCTCTGGAACACTTTGAATCATTTCTTTTACATCTATTTTGTTGGAGATTTGCTGGTGTGCTTGGGTTGACTGCTCATGGTTGACTCAATGACTGCAGGGCATCCAGATCCTGTGGTTGCAAAACAAGCCTCTGCTCCCACGCTTGACAGTTTTTATGAGGTGTCTGTGCTGATGTGCTGTGTTTGGTTTTCACCAAATGTGCAACATGAATTATGGCCAAAGGACATTGTTCCACAAGTCTTGAGGTTTGTTCAGATGCAACGTTGCAATTCTTAGCCAGGTTGTCACATTCTTTTTAGAGAGGAGAGACTTTCTCCTGGCAAACAAGTCAGACTTGTCCAGTCCTTTTCTGATTCTACTGCCCCGAACTTTTATCATGGCTTCATATCATAGCTTTTATCATAGTGCAAGGTTTTGGGGTGTTTTTCTAATTTCTCTGAGCATTAGTCGGACTCTGGGCCGTATTTAAAGGGAAGGGAAGTTTGTGGGAAGATTGTGGCAGTGAGTTAACACACACCAGACCATCAATCTGCCAAAATCAAGCACATTTGATTAGCAGCACTCGGCTGCTACTTACCTTCTAAACTGCCATGCGAGCAGGAAAGGGTTTACTTCATTTTTTCACAAGACTGCATAAAGTTCGTTGAAAATATTATTTTTCACATGTCTGTAAACTGGTCCACTTCTTGCACAAAACAGAAATGGCTAGGGACTGCTGGTAAGCAGCAACAGAACTTAAGAGAGAGGCGAGTATCCAGTAAAACAACAACTGCAGATGGTGTTCTATTCGTTTAACACAAAAATTACAATTACTTCAAACTTCAACTCCAATCCAAGTTCTTCCACCACCCTCATTTCCTCAAAATGGGAAATGAGGGTGGCGGGGTCACCTCCCAGTGTGCTGCACACCATACATGCGCTGCATAGACACCCCAGTGTATTTATCAGTAGTAATAGACAATAACATTGGCTCCATAAACAGCCAGTGGAAAGCTTGAAGAAAAAAAACCAAACAAACCCAAAGCATCTAGCATCAGCTCACCGCCTGCATTGGTGATGGTAACAGGAACTCCCTGAACTTGGACCCCGTTGATGCTGATGGTCTGCACTGCTTGTGCTGCTGAGGTGAGCTGCGATGTGTTCAATTGTATCATTCCACCTGCAGGGGCAATTTTTGCCAAGGTCCGCTCCTTTCGTCCTCCGGTAGCTTGTGTTCTCTTGGAGCCAGCTGGTGGTGTGACAGTGGTGGTAGGGGCAACTGTGGTGGCAGGGGTTGTTGTTGTCATGGAGTCCTGAAGCTGAACCGATTGCCATTCACCTGACGCTGTTTTAAAGAGAATCTGGGGAAAAAAACATCACTAAGTTTACTTAAAATGTTAAACTAATTCCTAGTTAAACTGTTATATTATCTTATGTACGACTTTGACATGTTGCTAGCTTAGTTGTAAGAATGTCACATGGTCCTTTGCTACCGTTCCTGAGGTATTCATAATAAACAGAAGAAGTTATTTTCAGCTGCTTCCTTATTTACAAGGAGTTACCTCAGCAGGTAGTGCTAGATATTGATTTAGCAGAATTTTACACTGGATGCCTTTCCTGACACAACAGACTAAAAATATTAAGAGTTAAAGAAACAATAAGTCTGAACAGATACCTGTGTTGGTGATGTTTCTGTTGGAGTGACCTGCAGATTCGAGGAGACAGACTGTCTCTGCGGGACGGGTGGCAACGTAGCAGAGGCAGCCTGTACCACCTTCAAAGCCTGTTGTGGGATCTGAACCACCTGAGAATCTGGTTTGGGCTGGACCAGCTGGACCTGTTGCACCATAGCAGGTTGCCCAGGACTTTGCACAATCAGTAAATTGTTCCCTGCCTGTGAATATAGAGAGAAGAAGCTGACCAGTAATCCTCATACGTAGGCTTTAGCCAACATCTTCAATGTTTTGACCACACTGAAAGGCTAAACAGTCATTTAACAGTTAGCTATAGACTGGGTTGAGTGTTTCAAAGTAGAATTTCAAACTCGATAACAATATTGTGGTTTCTGTTTAACTGCGGATTTTATAAATCTGAACTGCACACACATTTACTCGCTTTGGTAGTATATTTATGTCACAGGGAACCTTTTGAGCGTGAAAAACAAAAAGTGGTTGTAACACTAAAAATACTTTTTGTTTTAACCATTTGGTGGCAGAAGAACACATCACAAATTTAAAAAAACAAAAACAAAAAAAAGAAACAAGCTTTGTACTATAAAACAGCTGCCTGCCCAAAACTGAAACTGTCCTGAGGCTAATTAGGAAGCAGACGCTTCTGAAGATGTAAAACAGTTGACAGTTTCCTGTTTTTTTTTCTTCTTTTTTGACTCCTCACAAAAAAAATGATAACAGGAACAGCAGGTTATTAACATTCATTAGCATACATACATTTTTATTAAGATTAAAAAGTCCCAGTGCTCAAGCCCGGCTTGTATTACAGGAGCACAAACCTTAAGAAGTATACTCTGTGATAAAACAGAATCAGTTACACTTATTTTCAACAAAAAAGAGAGAATTAAAAAATAAAATAACTGATAATTAATTAAATATATATGGCATTTGGGGACTTCTACTTAACATGCAGTAAATGCTAGACTAAAAGCAGTGAGAGTAGATGCCGAGACTGGCTTACATGTCAAACTTGTGTCTGCGTAATGTTATAATTTGACAAACTTTAAATAAAACACTGACAGTTCAAAGAGAACACATATTTAGAAGAGGACCATTAAGTCTGTTTGAAGATTAACTTAAAACAAATAAATGGTGCCTTCATTTATGCTTTTCAGTACCAGAAACAATAACAAATAGGGGTACCTGTATGATGTTATCACCAGCTTCTATTAGGATGGTCTCCATCTGCTCTGGGGTTGGAGAGGCAGCCTGTGCTGGAGGCGGCGGTGGAGGCTCAGCAGCCAGTACTGCCTTTTTTTTCCTCCCTCGTCGTGCCTTTCCAGGAGTGGGAGGGGCTGCAGCTGTCTCTGTGATGATTTGTGTCCCGCCCACTTCCCCTGTAGCCACGTTGAGGGGAATTGTAAGTCCACTGGGCAGCTGCACAACGTTTGTAGCTGTATTGTTTGGCTTCCGCACCTTGAGGGAGGGCTTGATGGCTACGGTCTTCTGTGGCGTGACAGGAGCAGTGGCTGCAGCCGGAGCCGGCATGGTCATGGGAGTGGTAATGATGGCCTGGTTGGTACCGGGTATGAGCTGGATCTGACCTCCCTGTGGCATCACTTGAATGGTTTGTGCACCCTGGATCTGCGGCACCACCTGATACTGGATGCCAGGAGTGGCCGAGGTGCCGGTACAAGCAGGACTCTGCTGGATAGTAAGGACGATGGGGCTGCCAGGAGCTGTGGAGCCCAGGCCAGCAGGTAGCTGGATCACATTGCCCTTTGCTGAAAGGAAACCAAGGTTTTTCGGTGGAGCTGGCGCTATTGGAGCTGGCTTTATAGGAAGGAGCCGGCGAGGTTGTGGCTGCGCTGGCGGAGAGGTGACAGGAGCCTGAGCAGCAGGAGGGCCGATTTTACTGCAGGTGGCAGCCAGCAGAGCCAAAGGAGAGGGCTGAGTGTCCTGTGGGAAGACAGAAACATAGTCCAAGCCTGCATTAAAACCAGCCTGAACAAGAAGAATTCAGCACTAAGGGAACGATAGGATGAGGTAGTAGTCAGATCAAAAGCTAAAACAAAACAAGTTAACACAACCCAACAGGTAGGCCGACAACTACACATTAAGAATCATAATCAGTAGCGATCAAGTGGTGTAGTAGGTGTAGGAGTTTCCACCTGCGATGCCTTTGTGCCCCTCTTTGGTCCAAATGTGTGATCATCAAGCTGCAGGACAGGGAAGCATTCTACATTAATGCCATCTTCAGCACACTTTATATACACTGGACCGCTTCATGTATTTGAGGCAACAAACGGGTTTAAGTTGGGACTAGGAAGGTTGATACAACAAAAGTGAAAAAGGTTTAGTGACTACTGGTGCAAGACACAAAGCGATGTCATTAGTATTTAAATTCCCAATTGTGCATCGAAGCGAAACAGTGACTGAATTTATAGAATATATTGTTTTTGTTAGAAAAATATAGCACATCAGCTCTATCCTGGCACATAGAGAAGTGAGGGTCGCTTTTCCATTTCCAAACTAAACTAGTGCAAGAGCACCGAATCTGGATCTAACCTCATCTGAGAAAGTAATGATAATGCTGCCATAATCCATAATTAGTGGGCGTAAGGGTCCAGATAACAGCGGTAAGTTAGAACAGTTGACTGGTTCTTTATCATTTGTTTAAATGTCTCTGGGGGTTTTTTCCAGTCAAAGCAGTTTTAAATTTGACAATAAACTTATCATGACATCTTAACTTACACAGTGTCGTTTTTGTATGTATGTTAATTTCAAAATTCTACGCGGTCTTGTTCTCGAGTTATTGCATTCACAAGATTTTCAGAAAACTTAACCACCGAGATTTTTAGTAGATGCACCTATGGTATTCACTCAAGTTATCGCATTCACAAACTTAGGTGTCCACACTGCCCGCCAGGCAGGGTAACAACAGTACTCCATCAGCCTTTTGCAATTGAGGGTTAAAAAACACTCAATGCTTACAATGCACTAAACATCAAAGGAATTCTACAGAAAAATAAACACACAGTGTATATTAGATATGGCAGCAATATGAACACAACAGATGCTAAGAGCAACAGTAAGAGAAGAGATTGCAACAGTGCAACATGCGTGCACAGCCGAGGCTTGTGGCTGCTACTCACTTGTGTTGAAGCAGAGGAGGGCTGAAGGTATTCGCTGGGACTGACAGCGACAGTGGTAGCCATACTGTCCTGTTGTTCTGAAAAAACACACAGCAGAGAGATTTCAGGCTGCCTGCAGCAATGGTTAAGCTATTCAAGGGTATCACAGGACATTGCAACAAAACAGAAGAGCTCTGTGAAGGACAAGCCATGCAGTATCTCACTTAAACTGCTATATGATCATTAAATGTCATCAATTACACAAATGATGCCATTAACTGCGCTAATTAACGCATTCATTTGCATGCTGACACTTTCATTTTCACCAAACATGTGGGATATTTATATGACTCACATCTCTTAAAGGATTCAGGAATGACAGAGTTGTGCTTTTTTGTTTGTTTGTTTGTTTTTTGAGGTTTCGAGAAAATATTTTCCCTCCAATATGTTGACGATATTAAAAATATTCAACTCACGCATGTTATTAGCAGAGTCATTAGAAGCTATCTGTCAAGAGTCAATATATCATGTTGTTGTTGTTGTTGTTAAATCACCATAATTGCAATTTGCATGAGTCAGCCACATTTACCAGTGACAGAGATGGGAAACAAATGCTTTTCCTTCAAAGGTTTCTATGTTTTCTCTATTTTTGTCCAGAATCTACTCCACATCTATTCCACATATTAAATTTAAATAAGTCATTTATTCAATTTTCTCGGTAACTTAGTGGAGATTTTGTATATTCACACACATTAAACTGCATCAATAACAGAATTATAAAGGAATACAAAATTTACACTGTGATGGAATATACCACAAAGAGCTAACTGGCCAAAATAAATAACATAAACAATGCAGACGATCTCTAAAGCCTGCTCTGAAAAACAGTTACCACTAATGCAAAGCAGTGTATGGAACTGAAGCTTTAAAGTTTTCCAGTACGTGGGGAATAATGCAGACACCTACTGATCTGTTTGATAAATATACACGGTTCTTTTAGGTACTGCAGCACATCTTTTGCTATTTGACTTGTTTTTGATCCAGTCTAATATAAACTTAGGTCATTAACCAGATCAAAATTTAGTCAATCGAGAAAGAGCTGTGATACCTGTACTTCATAAACTTAACAAGTTGTGTCTGCCAGAGGTTGTGTGTGTTCTAACAGCAAATGTCAATCTACTGGCCACATGTCAAATACTCTGAGCAAAAAATATATATATGTTGGACTGCGCTCCAAAATATTATACGAGAAAAAGACAGTAAATATATTGAGCATATTATATTTCCATTTCAACAGTTAGCATAAGTACATTTAGGGCAGGCTGCCCAGCAGCAGTTTAAGAGCAGGATAAATCTTGAGAGCCAAGCAAAGCAGCCTAATGGCCAAAATAGGTCGATGCTGTTATTGTCAAACAGAACTGCTGTGGAACTGTGGATAAAGCAATGCAAGCTGTTTTACTATCCATTACTGCTTGAACTACAACACAGCTAGTGCACACGATACAATCTCCACTTTTTTAAATAATTTATATAAATTCAAGAACAACACACAAATATGCAATTTAAAAGCCAAGGGATCTGTGACAGATTCAAATATTTTAATTTGGGATTTTATAGAACAGAAATACTCGCAGGCATTTTTAACATCTATTAACAATAATGACAAATGTAAAACGATAAACACTACTGGGACAGTAGTCCAGTACTGTCCCCTAACCCCTTTTGAGCTACATATCTAAGCTGGAAAACACCTGAACTCAACCAGCAGATAAGATATATGACCACATGGTAGCCACAGATCACTCTTCAGGCTGTCCCGATATTTGTGACAAATACACAGGATGATGATAAAGAAGTGATTCATCATCATAGATCTGCAACATGCAGATTTTTAAGGCCATATTTTATATAAATGTATAAAACAAAGTAAGATGAATTAGAGGTGTCCTTTCATCATGATAAAAAAATGATTGCACAAGTGTGTATATGTAAATTAACACAGATACGGCAATAACATTGCCACCAACACTTGTTTGGAGTTGTAATGTTTGGGGCTTAGTTATTCTCTGCCTGCTCTAACAGGTGTTATAAATTATGAAACAGGTTTGTGGTTGCCTGTCTTTGAAAGCATGTACCTTCACCACAGTTTGCAGAGAAACAAGTTAGTTTCTTTGTAAGAGTGCAAATGCAGCTTTCTTCAAGAACTTATGTAGTTCAGTGATCTTTCTTGTCTTCACCCTTTGCACAGCATTTCTGTCCACACACGTAAAACACAAAAATGCACAAGTATTACAATGATCATTTATTGAACTTCTCTTACATTTTTATTGAGGAAAATGATGTTGCAATACACCCATCACTAACAACATTAAAAGCACTGCCATTATGTGCTACAATTCAAGGTTCTGCAGTGAAACTTTAGTTCCTGGTACTCGTGTGGGTACTTTGACTAACTTTGTTGCACACCAAGAACACAGGCCACACCTTTGACATCACCCTGCAGAACAACACACCCTGCCACTAAAATACAAATAAAAAACTCTAAGGAACAAAAAACAGACATGCAAGGCACCCTGATCTCATTCCAGTTAGGCATCCTGACCTAGGACAGCCTCACTCCAAAACCAATGCACTGGATCTGTCACCAACATTCCAGTGCCTGACACCACAAGTGTAATAATATTCCATAAAAAAGCATTCCATACAATGCCGACGTCAGACAATAACTTGCTAGTTATGAGGAAATGCCTGAAGTAGAAATTCCTCTTTTCTACAAACTGTGCCGTCTGTATCTGCCAGCTCATCTGTCGACAGTAAACTTAAGCCTGACACACAATAAACTCATCTCTGTGTCGTGGCTGGTGATCAGCTGTACAAACAGGAAGGAGTTCCTCTGTTGGAGCTGCCTGCCTCATCTAGTAAAAGCATTATGCTGTTAATCGAAACGTCTGAACATGACTACCAAAGCAACAGACTTTCACTCGGGGATATCTCAGCCTGCTGAGCGAGCCACTAATCTCTCCATTCTGACACATTTTGGATTGGTCATAGCAACATAGAACAGAACTTCCCATCAGTTATGCAAGTGTGACTTTAAGTCCTGCAAATAACACAAATGGGGGGAAAAGTGCGGCCTCAAAATAGCGCCGCCATGCAACACAGTCTGTTAGGTTGGCTTGCAGAGCAACAGCAGCTAACGTTAGCCACCAAGCTAGCTAGTGCTACTGACTCAACTGAGGCAGACTCAAATGTCTATCGACTAGCTTATATATGTGCTGGTTTGCTTTGATAAAAATAAACGAGGCGAGACGGGAATGGGTGCAACATGAAAATATGTCGGTGTATTGCTGTGGGGTTTCATATGTGGTGGAAATGGACAAATCGATTTGGGGGCAGAAACAAGTAAAGGACCAGCTACATAGCTTCCAGTAGCATTTTGGCTAGCTGACGCGTAGCTAGCAAGTCAAACTCTCTTTGATAACGTTACAGAAAAAGGGAGCTCTTTGCCGGAAGTGCACTGCTTATTTTGGTACATACAACCGCACGAACACCCCTAAAACATAGTTATTTGTACCACAGCATGATTAGTGCTTTCCCTTCAACGCAAATACAATGTTTTACGAAGTAGAATGTAATATAAACACCAATGTTTTAATTCCTACCCACCGCTCATGACGACATTCGCTCTCCGCGAGCCTTGCAGACCGAACCCATGGAGGAATCCGCCCGCGCTGTTGCACCAATCCACGGACAATACAGAGTTAATTGACGTCTACCCCGACCAACTACCTTTAGCTGTCTTTGTGACCGAAGTCCACCTGAGCCAATCCCGACGTCATATTTCTGTACATGGGTCGATGGATGACCGTTTGGCCAATGGGATATCTAGATTGTGATCAGTGGGGCGGTTCCAACAGGACTGACCTGGAACAAGCGAGTGCCCTATTACAGCAGGAGCACTGCTTCACTGACGTCCCTGACGGCCAATGTGATCTTTAAGGGGCAGTACGGTCAAACTAAGAATGACAGCCGCGCAGATCAATGAGCTTTAAGTCACTTGTGCCTGACCTGTTTAAACTGTGGCACGATATGGAGCGGGACGTTATGTGGGATAAAGACTGCGCTCAGTGAATGGAGTATACATTTATTTTAAAGCTGTGAGCATATGTTGCATTGATAGTTCAACATTTGTCTGTACAGTACAGGATATCACTACCAGCCTACTTTGCACAGCTTTGTATATTGTACATTTTAGATGTATTTATGTTTTGGGGTTTATTTTGACAATGTTGGCCTGTTAATGGCTTAATTACTGTTTGTTTAAAGGTCCACTCACGCAAAAATGTACTTAACACACAAAAAAGATGCCTGGCTAAAACATGTATGACATGTCTTTTATCTTATCCTGTTGCTTTCAACACAGCCTTCACAATAGGCTGTAGTTTTACCCTGAAAAGTACTTTGACATTTAGCTCTCTGCTTGTGTGGTAACTGCTAATGCAATAGAGGATGCAGCATTCAAGTCATTAGTCCACCAATCTATAGACTGCAGACTGTAAGGATTGTCAGGTTATGAGACAATAGCCCTGTTGACACATTAAAAGCACATTACTCTCTTTGTTGTCTTTTTGCTTTTGACCTCTTTGGATGTACTTGTGTTCCTTCCTGCATATCTTTTTCAGTAGTTTGATTTGTCTGCTTCACCATAGCGCTTCATGTTTTGTTTTTGTTGTTGTTGTTCTTTGTTTTAATCTTTGTAGACTTTGTGCCTTTTTACTGTCCTTTTGGTTTTTGTCTTCTGATAGACACAATTGATTTGTGCTAATATAATCACATTAACTGACCCTCTCTGTGGCTGATTTACAACTCTTTCTGATCCAATTTCTGTTTTGCACAGTTTTATTGATTTGAGTCTATTACTACACAGAAGAAGAAAAAATCCTACTCTCTTTAATCTTTGATTGATCTCTGATACTTGGCTCGATAAAAGACTCAACTCACTCAAATGAAATTATGCTGTATATTTGCATGTTGTCTTTGTGAGCATGCACAGATATATAGGATTTCTGCAGTGATTCTTCATAAGATTATTTTTGTAACTTTTGTGATGCATTGTCTTTGGATCTAGTGCCATCATCAGGTGAGTATGTTATCTAAATATTTCAGTAAGTGAGGAACCAGCTGGATTGTTGTAGAATATATTAGAGGAGGCAGAAATGTAGAGTGATTGTGAACATTAAGCGACACAGTTTTACTGTTTTACTTTTAACAAGCACATATTTGGCTTACAGTGTTGAACTTCAATTATATTTTTACTGGCAAAAACATTTTTTTTGTATAAAGCAAATAAAGCTCTTAATACTGTAGCTGAAACTTCTACTTGAATATTTTATTTCAGAAAATATCTGGTGTATGATACTAAATTGTCATGACCAGTGTCTGTAAAACAAATTCCATTTTTACATTTATGTTAAACATAACACCCAGCACGCCCCTGCGGGCGGTTTATCCTTCAAGCTCGGGTCCTCTACCAGAGGCCTGGGAGCTTGAGGGTCCTGCAGTATCTTAGCTGTTCCCAGGACTGCGCTCTTCTGGACAGAGATCTCCGATGTTGTTCCCGGGATCTGCTGGAGCCACTCGCCTAGCTTGGGAGTCACCGCACCTAGTGCTCCGATTACCACGGGGACCACCGTTACCTTCACCCTCCACATCCTCTCGAGCTCTTCTCTGAGCCCTTGGTATTTCTCCAGCTTCTCGTGTTCCTTCTTCCTGATATTGCTGTCATTCGGAACCGCTACATCGATCACTACGGCCGTCTTCTTCTGTTTGTCTACCACCACTATGTCCGGTTGGTTAGCCACCACCATTTTGTCCGTCTGTATCTGGAAGTCCCACAGGATCTTAGCTCGGTCATTCTCCACCACCCTTGGGGGCATCTCCCATTTTGACCTCGGGACTTCCAGATTATACTCGGCACAGATGTTCCTGTACACTATGCCGGCCACTTGGTTATGGCGTTCCATGTATGCCTTGCCTGCTAGCATCTTGCACCCTGCTGTTATGTGCTGGATTGTCTCTGGGGCATCTTTACACAGCCTGCACCTGGGGTCTTGCCTGGTGTGATAGACCCCAGCCTCTATGGATCTTGTACTCAGAGCTTGTTCTTGTGCTGCCATGATTAGTGCCTCTGTGCTGTCTTTCAGTCCAGCTTTGTCCAGCCACTGGTAGGATTTCTGGATATCAGCCACCTCCTCTATCTGCCGGTGGTACATACCGTGCAGGGGCCTGTCCTTCCATGATGGTTCCTCGTCTCCCTCCTCTTTCTTGGGTTTCTGCTGCCTGAGGTATTCACTGAGCACTCGGTCAGTTGGGGCCATCTTCCCAATGTATTCTTGGATGTTCGTTGTCTCATCCTGGACTGTGGTGCTGACACTCACCAGTCCCCGGCCCCCTTCCTTCCGCTTAGCGTACAGCCTCAGGGTGCTGGACTTGGGGTGAAACCCTCCATGCATGGTAAGGAGCTTTCTTGTCTTTATGTCAGTGGCTTCTATCTCCTCCTTTGGCCAGCCTATTACCCCAGCAGGGTACCTGATCACGGGCAGGGCGTACGTGTTGATGGCCCGGATCTTGTTCTTACCATTCAGCTGACTCCTCAGGACTTGCCTGACCCTCTGCAGGTACTTGGTGGTTGCAGCTTTTCTAGCGGCCTCTTCATGGTTCCCATTCGCCTGCGGGATCCCCAGGTACTTGTAACTGTCCTCTATGTCTGCAATGTTGCCTTCTGGTAGTTCAATCCCCTCAGTTCTGACTACCTTCCCTCTCTTTGTTACCATCCGACTACACTTCTCCAGTCCGAACGACATTCCAATGTCATTGCTGTATAGCCTGGTAGTGTGGATCAGTGAATCGATGTCTCGTTCACTCTTGGCATACAGCTTGATGTCATCCATGTACAGGAGGTGGCTGACAACTGCTCCGTTCCGTAGTCGGTATCTGTAGCCAGTCTTGTTAATGATCTCACTGAGGGGGTTCAGGCCTATGCAGAACAGCAGTGGGGACAGAGCATCTCCTTGGTAGATCCCGCACTTGATGGTGACTTGTGCTATGGGCTTGGAGTTGGCCTCTAGTGTTGTACGCCACATCCCCATTGAGTTCCTGATGAAGGCTCTTATCCCATATGATTACATATTCTAGGTATTATATATTTATATATATATATATATATATATATATATATATATATTATATATATATGAGAGAGAGAGAGAGAGTGTGAGAGAGAGAGAGAGAGAGAGAGAGTGAGAGTGAGTGAGTCATTAGTCATGACACATTAACACTGTTTTGAACTAATTTCAGAGCTTTCTGTCACAACGACAGAGAATAGATCATTGTGACATCCAAACATTATTTAATGGTTTTAAATGTCTTGTTTTCTTCCTATGACTAATACAACCGTGTCATCAAAACAGAATCTGAAAGTGTAACCTTCATTTTTGCATTCTTACCTTTCGCTTGTTCAAACACTGACTGGTTCCTTTGGGATCTGAATACTAAAGATTAGGGACTTTCCTTTTTGGCTCATGTCATGATGCCATTCACTCTCTGCGAGCATTTTATACCTTTTCTGTCGGATGTTCAACTTGTTAAGAAAATGTCCCCATGGTGGCTGTCAGGCCCATCTGTCGTCTGCATCAGCCGAGCTGGCCCCCAGCACTTTCAGCCAGCTTGTAGGCTACTACTATGAGCTGGCCTTCTTTCTCATTGGCTCATTCCCATTGACTCCATTCACATCCACAATGCACGTAATGCCTTTTCATATAGGCTTTTCCCAAAAAGTACCCTTGACCTTATTCACATACAGATCTCTTTCATTTCTTCCCAGTCTGTCCCTGCATCGCTGCATGAGTTTTTTAAGAGCTTAGGAAACCGGAGTCCTGCTTTTAGTTAAAGCACTCTCTCCCTCTTCACCTCAAGTGTGCTGTAGTTGGCTTGATGAAGGATGCAGATACTGTCTCCCACCTTCTCCCCAGGCACCTCTGTGGAGAGCCTCAGAGAGAAAGTGCTGCATAATTTAACTGGGACATCTCACTTTTATCAGTTAACAGGCTTCATGAGCAAGCCAAAGCTGTGGCAGGAGTTTTCAGCCTATTTCAAAGAGAATAGCTGACATTAAAAAATGAAGCACACTCTACGTTAAGAACTCAAAGCCAGAAGCTGTGAAGCAAGGGACGTGATGTTGTGACGGGTTTTTAGCCTTTTTGACATTTTATAAACAAATGATTTATATACAGAATGTAAGCAATACTTGCTTACTTAATTTAAATTGTTTTATTTAATTTAGATCACAGTAGCTATTTAAGTTCACTTAGTTATATTCATACACACTTTATATATTGTGCATGCTTTAGTCACTTTGAGGCAGTTTTGTTATTCAGGGTTGATGTTCAAATGACTAAAAAAACAATGTTGCAATAATGAGGTGGTCTGCTGGTCACAGAAACACACACAACACAACCAGATGTCTGTGCCGGTATGAATTAACCATTCATATTGATATTTTAAGAATTTATTTATCAACTGTTAATTATTCATGAACTAAGGGTGTTTAATTTAAATTTAAATTGAATTTTGAGCTTTATATGTTGGTATATTCATTTCATGTAATTCATTAAAAACAAAAACAAATAATATTATTATTACTAATAATAATAATAAAACAGTCTGCACAACAAATTCAAGCATAAAAATCTGAACCTCATCATAAGCGGGTATGCATAATAGCTATAAAGGGCTGGATCAGGTGACCCTATATCCTCCCTTAGTTATGCTGCAATAGGTGTAGGCTGCCGGGGGATTCCCATGATGCATTGAGTATTTCTTCTTCAGTCACCTTTCCCACTCTCTGTTTATAGAGCTCTCTCTGCTGAGAATCATACTTCCACAGCATGTCTTTATCCTGTCTTCCTTCTCTCACCCCAACCGGTCGCAGCAGATGGCCCCGCCCCTCCCTGAGCCTGGTTCTGCCGGAGGTTTCTTCCTGTTAAAAGGGAGTTTTTCCTTCCCACTGTCGCCAAAGTGCTTGCTCATAGGGGTCATATGATTGTAGGGTTGTTCTCTGTATGTATTGTTGTAGGGTCTACCTTACAATAGATTTATTTAAAGTGAAAGTTTTTGGAGGGTTTTCTACAAAAAGAAAAAAAAACAGATTTTGCTGAGCAGGCACATTTATCCATAAACCCTGTTAAGACAAAACTGTCAATCTGTCATTAATGTCATAGTTATGCCAAAGCAGTGATAGGTCTGTAGAATAATATTAGTATGTTAGTTAGATCTCAGTATGCCAAGATTGAATTTTTCCTACTTTTAGTTTGTGTATCACAGCCTCGCACAATGACCAACAATTGCTAACTTTAAATAAAATATATGGAAAATATACAAACAGCAGATTGGCTTGTTGTTTCCAAATCTTTCAGTGATATTAATTAGTTTTAGTTAAATTAGTTAATTCGTTTTCCATAAACCAAAATAAAATTCAAAATGAGCTAAAGTTAGATCCCATCAATATGTTTACTGAAATATTTTGAGTCTGCTTTCAGTGAAAATACTCAAATTGGGTGAAAAAAAATGCCACACACCAGGGTTTTTTGTTTCCTTTTTACTGGAAAAGCCAGTAGCCAGCTTCACGGTACTGAGAAACAGAATGAGGAAAATACACCTGGGCATTTCAACAAATAAAACAAACAGGTAGAGAGCAGTTATAGGAGGTATACACACTGAGAGGCAGGGCATTTTGGCAATAATCAAATGTTCCCAGATTCAATAATTTCAGTTCAGATGAATCTTTCATTTCAGTAACTGAAAATATCTACCCTAAAGCAGGAAAACCCCCACATCAAATACCCGTTAGTATCGTAAACCAGTTTTCCGAGGACGTATTTTCTCTTTGGTGTAATTTCACTATTTCTGTATATATCTGTCTGAACCTGAACAGCACCAATGTGAAGTCAACTGGGTCTTTTAAAAGCAACAAATACAGGAGTTTAAATAGACTTGAATACAATGCATTGGGAGAAGTAAGGAGCGTGTGAAATCAGTGACAACCTTTACGTTCATTTACTTAATGAACTGTAGTAATGGCTGTCTCTTTACATCGTGGCTCAGTAATCAAAAATAAAGATAATAACTCTATATGTTTTAGGCATTCTTGGCAGAAGACAAGGCAAAAACATGAATCAACAGAACCCAGAGCATAGCAGAAACTGCTATAAGCCAGCACCTGTGGGGGTCATTTCTCTGTGATTTAAATTACAGCAACAAAAACAACCAATTTTATGGCATAAGACATTTTATTGTGTTTTTGGGGGGATGCGCAGGGGATTATGTGTTTACTATTATGTGATATTTTATACTCTGAAAAATCTGTCAAGTATTTAGTGGGCAATATAAACGCTTTTTGTTTTTACCTATTAGAGGAGAACAGCCTAAGACTGCATACCTCTAAAAGCAAAACATTTCCTCCGCACCAAGCATAAATTGACTCTGAATGTTTTCTGAAAAACTTTATACATATAGCAGTCACTTTTTAGCTAAACATTGCTAGCACCAGGTTGGACCCTTTTTGCCTCTAGAACTGTCTTAATTCTTCGTGGCACAGATTAAAGAAGGTGCTGGCAAACATTCCTCAGAGATTTTGGCCCATAACATCACACAGTTGCTGCATATTTGTCAGCTTCACATCTATGCTGCAAATCCAAAAGGATTGGAGGGCGTTTGAGCGCAGTCAACTAATTTTCACGTTCAGAAAATCCGTTTGAGATGCTCTGAGCTTTCTGATATGGTGTGCATGGTACACCATGGTCATAAAAGGATTGACATGGTCAGCAACAATAATCAGGTAGCCTATGTAATTTAATAGATGCTCATTGATACCAAGGGGCCCAAAGTGTGCTAAGGAAACATATCTCAGACTATTACATCACCTCCCCCAGGCTGAACCGTGCCTACAAGGCGGGATGGATCTATGCTTTTATACTGCTTACACCACATTTTGACCCTCGTCATTCAACTGTTGCAGCAAAAATTCAGACCAGGGAACATTTTTCCAATCTTTCCATTTTTGATAGACGAATGCAAATCGTAGCCTCAGTTTGCTGTTTTTAGACAGGAGTGACACCCAGCTTCTCAAGGTTCAGCGTGTTGTGCATTCAGAGCAATTTCCCTCTGCATACCTTTATTGCAAAACATGACTATTGGAGCAACTTTAAAGCAGAATGGCAATTTCCTCTAACCTCTGGCATCAAAAAGGCATTTATAGCAGCTCAATGGATATTTTCTCTTTCCTTTTTTCTGTGAACCCTAGAGATAGTTCCCCAAAAGTTAATTCTGTTCATCTGGACGTTTTCAGTGGGAGAAATGTTTCGTCACTCATCCAAGTGACTTCTTCAGTCTCAGCTGACTGCAGGTTTCCCCAATCTTATAAACAGTACATTTGCATAATGACTGAAACCAGCCCACTGAAGGAACAATGGGCTGTGAGATAGACCTAGAGATAGTTGTGTGAGAGATGGCCTGTCTGGCACCAACAAAGAAATCACATTTTTCCCCCATTCTGATGCTCAGTTTAAACTTCAGCAGGTGATAATGACCATGTCTATATGCCTCAATTCATTCGAGTTGCTGCTATGTGATTGGCTGATTAGATATTTGTCTTAATGGGCAGTTAAACAGGGGTACCTAACAAGGTGGCCAGTATGTGGACCCAGATTAGTTTAGGATGCTGTCTTAAGAAGATCAAAACAGTGTCTACCATGTTCTTATTTCAATTAAATAGATATTTTTAACAATATGACACAAAACGTCACAAAAAATCCCTACAAACATCCAGTGATGACTATATATTGAAATGCCTATAGAATAAGCATACCAACTGCCTTCTAAATGGTTGCTCATAAGCAACACTTACACTCAGCAGCTCTGACTACCCACAGGTAAATCTCTGGGGACCATAGGCTTGCCAACACAAACAAAATGAGGATAGCACTTTTGGTTTCCTGGTAGCTACCGCAGATGAAATCGCGGACAGTAGAACAATCATATCGTGCCTATATTGTTGAGAGGCCAAAGACAAAGAAGACTTAAAGCAAAACAGCTTGTATCTCAGAATTAACTCAATAGGTTTTAGCACTCAAAGCTCATAGTAGGTTCACATAAAGTAACAACAGTTGGCTAGCTATTTACCCAATAGAAGTGGGTGTTTGTTTGTTTTTTAAAAACAAGGAGTCCAGTTTAGAAAGTTGGGTTATAGCGAAAAATGCCTATTGCCACTTTTAAAAAATAGCTGGCACACTGATTAATGTAGAATAGTGAAAATAACCAGTGCTGGTTGCTGCAAGTGAAAGCCAGTCAATACTCTTAATATATTCCATATACAACTTATACAACTTGAGGAGTTCCTCAAATTGTGTCATATAAGATGAGTTTAAATAAAATGAAGAAATTTACTCACGGGATTTAAAAAAAAGCAAAAAACTTTTTTTAGCTGATTCATAGGGTCCAACTTTTGGGGTTCAGTTTCAGATGATGAAGACACCAAATGATTTGACAGGCCTCTGTGGCCCTGCCTCTGTGTGTATACCAGCACTGAGGACATCTTTTAATCCAAAATCCCTTTTTTTGACAAAATGGAAGGAAAAACAAGGAAATGGCAGCAAACAACAGTTGTACAAATTGACCAGTGCATTGTGTTTTAAAAGTCCATTTCAACAGGTTCAGGAAATTGAGTTCATAATTCAGGCTCTGTTTTTGTGCCTGTCGACATGTTTTCAGGTGAGCGTATCTCTACAGTCCCTCCTCAGAAGTCACTGAGTCCACTGCATATGCACCACGATTCAACTGCAAGCACACATCATTCCTCTCATTAGTCCAAATCCACACATAGGAGGATCCATCCCAGTCACATTGGACACACAGATTTCCAGGGACTCTGATTGGCCGATGCTGGAAGACTGGTAGACCAGTACAGACAGTACAGTCCTCCACAGCAAAACCTGGAGATGAGGGTAAAACTATGTATATTAATGCTTTATATTAAGATTTCACCTGAGCATCTCAGTCACAGGATCAAAACATCGTTGGATTAGCACAGTACTATTTACCACTCTAGAAATCAACAGCATGCTGTTGATGAACTAACTCACTCGAGCTGAGAAGAGCTCTGCTGCTACGTCTGCGACTCGGCCTCCTGCCCTACTCCCACTACCCTCCGGATGCTCTTGATTGACAGGTACATCTCCTCCTCAGGGTCATAGTAATAAAACTTACTCAGGTAGGAGATCAGCGGTCTGGAAAGAGGTGAAAACATAGGCAAAAAATCAGTATCAAAATCAAAAGCTGGATTACTGAATGTAGAGATAAAGAAACAGAACAGAAGACACAAAAGTTTTAAACATCAGCACAAAGAATAAATGAAAACCAACCCAGGATTTTTCAAAATATCTCAGCTTTTGGTTGGATACCAATGAAACTATGCTAACACATACTGTTTTTATGAAAAACAAAATGTACCGCCTTTTTCTCTACCTGAATCATGTGGTTGGAGGTTGCTAGGTTAAAACCTCAGTAAGAGCTATAAGTGAAAACCCATCAATAAAGAGTCTGTTAAAACCGTTCCAACACCTTGGAAAACAGCAGCATTGTTCAGGATGCTGGCTTTCCACTCCTGTATATTTCAGCAAGTATATTTCCCAGTTGAAACTGAGTACCTGGGCAGTGGAAGCTCTTGGATGTGGTCGATGCGGACTATTTGTCGGATGCAAAAGCGACAGAGATGTTGAAGTGACTTCACTTTGCTGAAGCGAGACACAGGATACAGCAGCTGAACCGGAGTGGGAGGTAGTCCTGGGACAGAAAGAAACATTTTACTCAGTGAAACATTTTAATTTGCCCTTTCCCAATTTTGCTTTGGGCACACTGGTGGCCCAGTGACTAACATGTAGGCGTCCTTCACAGACTTTGTGTCCTCTTGTCAACTGTTGTGCCTGTAGCTTAATGGCCAAAAATTCTTACAAAAACATAGTTTTATTTGTTTTGAGACTTGCAGGACTTTTCTTAAAAGAGATGCTGGTTTCCAGCTTCATAATTTTATTCTTGGAATCTACTAGAGCAGCATTTTCATTTTATTTACAGTTAATTCTTATTTATTGTGTACTTTCATGGCTTTGGGATGGTGTATCAGTTCATCCAACTCTCCTTCGGCTCTTCCCCTTTAAGTCAGCTTCTCTTAGTAAACAGGATATCTGATCTCACTGGCATCACGCAGACACAGAAGTAGATAAAACTGTGTGAAACTCAGTGCTCAGAGCAATGTGAAGTATAAACTTCTGGATTACAGGGATTAATTGTACATACACTTCTCTATCAGCATAGACATCCACCGCTTCAACCTCAGACCACTTCGACACAACTCACAAATGAAGATCATTTCTGTGGAGCGATGCTTTCAACTAACCTGTTGCATGTGAGTCAAGTATTCGCGCTCTTTCAGCTCCATTTTTGGTCTCTACAGACGCCTGAGGGAAGTACCCGTCTCTTTAACTGCTAAAAGCAATAGATTTTTGGAGCTTTTGCTCTGGCTGAAAATTATATTATCGTGGGAATAGGAATTAAATAAAACAGTAGAGTTGTAGCTGTACAGGGACGCAATGAGCTTATATTCAATATAAAGCTCCCTACAGCCCATGGTAGAAGCAGATGCAGCTGGTCCGTTACTACAAGACTCCTCACACATATGATGCATGTGAATGTATAGATTATAGGCTCTTTAAGCAGCCTGATTCTGTCATGTTTAGCAAAGATTATTCAGACAGGTGTAAATAAAGTATTTGCTAGACTAGTAGAGGAGCAATGCACAGGAAATTGGTGCTCGGTGAGTATTTCTAGCTCAAGATTTAGTTTAATATAAATATAACAGTAAAAGATTCGTTTCAATCTGACTCAGTTATGTCTGATAACATTTTGCACAGATATATTTCCCAATCAGAAGATGCTACCTTACTTATTGTCATTTAGGTGTGATGCAGTAAACTACAGTGAATTGTGCGATATAGCTTGGCCTGAGGTCCACATGCATCACATCTGTGTCGGCATGATTCTCATCAGGGGTAAATCTGCTCACGGCTCAATGATATGTGCATAAATCGCACAGGTGGATGCAAAGGATACAATAGCATACAGTTACACTGTAGTATACACAAACTAGTGTAAATTTACTGTAAGACATAAATGACCAGATACCTTCACATGAGCATGATGCAAAACCTGAATGTAGACATAAAAATGGTACATATATAGCTATTCTCTCCTCTCCTCCCGGTCTCTCAGGCACTTCTCACTAAGGGGTGATTCAAATGTTTTTTTGATCAGTTGGAGCTGGGTGTTGATATAAAGCCTGTGTTGTTTCACCTGGGACTCTGGAGCGGAGGAAGTAGAGGAATTTCCCATTTTTGGAGTGCATGATGGCTCGCTCGATGAACTCCACCACAGAGTGACAGCGGTCCTCAAACTTCGGGTGACACCACAAACTGAACGTCCCTGCAGGCAATAAAAGAGGAATAGTTTCCTGTATGTACTGTATCATGTGTACTTTTTCAATATCTATAAATCGTACCCACATGAGTAACGTTTTTACAAATGCAACTGAGATGAAACTGTTCCTGGATAGTTCTAAAGAGACTAAAGAGAACAAAAAATAAAGCTACACAACAGGAAATTTCCATCAGCCTGTGCAGCTTTAAGATGTAAATCATGCTCTTTAGGTCCTGGAAATAATGCAACTTTAAAGGTAAAGTTCACCACTAAATCACTTTCACATACATTTCTACTGGCTTGAAGCGCTATTTATCCTTTTAGATGGCTTTGATGTGAGGTGCCCAGTTTAGTAGAGCTTTGTGGAGCACGAGGGGCCAGAAAGCACAGTTAACACACTCAGCAACATTGCAGAAATCATGACAAAGTTGCTCAGAAAATCCAGAAGCCTTTTCGTAAACAGTTTCATGCAGGAGTTGTTTACTTTCATGCAGCTAGCAAACATTACAGCTGTCACACTGTTGTGCATATGAGCCTCTGATACTCATGCTGCATAGTAATACAGCCGGCAAGTTAAAAAAAAAAGAAAGTGTCATGGTTCTGGGTCATTTGACCTCTAGATAGTCTTGAGCTCCATGTTCAGTATGTTTAGTTTTGCTTCCCCTGTGGTGTCATGTTCATTTGTATCAGCTGTGTTCTCCAGGTGTTTCCACTTCCCTCATTGCCCTTCTGTGTATTTAAGTCCTGTCTTCCTTTGTTCCTTGTCAGGTCGTCTGTTCGTCTACCCGTGTCTGCTCTCCTTGCCGTGTTCATGGTCTGTGGTTTTCCCACGCTCTCTGTGTTTAGATCTTTGTTTAGTTTTTCCCCACTTTAGGTTTTTGGTTAGTTTATCTCTGTGTTATTTTGCCTTTGTTTCTCATATTTCCTGCCTCAAGCGTTTGCGTTTGAGTCCTCTTAAATAAATACAGGGTCTGCTGCCGCAGACACGTGACAAAAAGAAATATTAAGGTAGAAATTACTTTAGAGCAGTTCATAATTACATAATACTGAATAAAAATAATTTACAAACAGCCAATATGTGAACAGACAAATGCTATGAGTGATTCGACTTCCTGTTGACTTCACAGTGGTTCTTTCTCTTGAAGCCTTTCTGCCCTCAGTTCATGCTGGGTCATAATGCATTCATGCAAACAAGATTGTACTGATGCGAACATGTTGTGTCAGTGAAGGCTGCATATCTGTATAATGAATGTGTTTTCAGCCATGATGCTGTGGCCATGTAATAGTGACTCATTAATGTACAGCCCCAGTTATGAACATCTGCATGGGAGCGTGCGTACTGGCGTATGTGACCAGTCACACATTCATCTTTGTACAAGTCACCTTGTTAGTTTGTCACACATGTGAGGCGTGTGCATGTGGCGCCATGTGAGTTATTCATGCTTCATGAGTTTTGGTTTCAATTTGCTCGATCTGTACAGGCCTGTCTGCTTACACATAATGTTTTCAGATCTGTCTATATGTTTACTGTAGACAGATTGCTATATTACTGTATGTACAGGGAGTGCAGAATTATTAGGCAAATGAGTATTTTGTCCACATCATCCTCTTCATGCATGTTGTCTTACTCCAAGCTGTATAGGCTGGAAAGCCTACTACCAATTAAGCATATTAGGTGATGTGCATCTCTGTAATGAGAAGGGGTGTGGTCTAATGACATCAACACCCTATATCAGGTGTGCATAATTATTAGGCAACGTCCTTTCCTTTGGCAAAATGGGTCAAAAGAAGGACTTGACAGGCTCAGAAAAGTCAAAAATAGTGAGATATCTTGCAGAGGGATGCAGCAGTCTCAAAATTGCAAAGCTTCTGAAGCGTGATCATCGAACAATCAAGCGTTTCATTCAAAATAGTCAACAGGGTCGCAAGAAGCGTGTGGAAAAACCAAGGCGCAAAATAACTGCCCATGAACTGAGAAAAGTCAAGCGTGCAGCTGCCAAGATGCCACTTGCCACCAGTTTGGCCATATTTCAGAGCTGCAACATCACTGGAGTGCCCAAAAGCACAAGGTGTGCAATACTCAGAGACATGGCCAAGGTAAGAAAGGCTGAAAGACGACCACCACTGAACAAGACACACAAGCTGAAACGTCAAGACTGGGCCAAGAAATATCTCAAGACTGGTTTTTCTAAGGTTTTATGGACTGATGAAATGAGAGTGAGTCTTGATGGGCCAGATGGATGGGCCCGTGGCTGGATTGGTAAAGGGCAGAGAGCTCCAGTCCGACTCAGACGCCAGCAAGGTGGAGGTGGAGTACTGGTTTGGGCTGGTATCATCAAAGATGAGCTTGTGGGGCCTTTTCGGGTTGAGGATGGAGTCAAGCTCAACTCCCAGTCCTACTGCCAGTTTCTGGAAGACACCTTCTTCAAGCAGTGGTACAGGAAGAAGTCTGCATCCTTCAAGAAAAACATGATTTTCATGCAGGACAATGCTCCATCACACGCGTCCAAGTACTCCACAGCGTGGCTGGCAAGAAAGGGTATAAAAGAAGAAAAACTAATGACATGGCCTCCTTGTTCACCTGATCTGAACCCCATTGAGAACCTGTGGTCCATCATCAAATGTGAGATTTACAAGGAGGGAAAACAGTACACCTCTCTGAACAGTGTCTGGGAGGCTGTGGTTGCTGCTGCACGCAATGTTGATGGTGAACAGATCAAAACACTGACAGAATCCATGGATGGCAGGCTTTTGAGTGTCCTTGCAAAGAAAGGTGGCTATATTGGTCGCTGATTTGTTTTTGTTTTGTTTTTGAATGTCAGAAATGTATATTTGTGAATGTGGAGATGTTATATTGGTTTCACTGGTAAAAATAAATAATTGAAATGGGTATATATTTGTTTTTTGTTAAGTTGCCTAATAATTATGCACAGTAATAGTCACCTGCACACACAGATATCCCCCTAAAATAGCTAAAACTAAAAACAAACTAAAAACTACTTCCAAAAACATTCAGCTTTGATATTAATGAGTTTTTTGGGTTCATTGAGAACATGGTTGTTGTTCAATAATAAAATTATTCCTCAAAAATACAACTTGCCTAATAATTCTGCACTCCCTGTAGGTCTGTAGCTTATCTACTGAAATCGTGCTAATAGACTTTAAAACAGCTCAGTCAATTATATGAAGATTTGTCTCATTTATATTAAAAAAAATGCCAAATATACAATGACATGTTTATCGAACTCAGATTTTTGCATACAGTGCTTCCCGAGTTTTGTATAAAGAGACATTAACCTTTTTAATGTTGCTGATTTTGTCTGCTGGGTTGAGTCAGGTATAGTCTGTTTTTACTCTGTTAACTTATTGCAAACTACAGTTTGGAATCCAAAACAAATCCCCCCACGGGGACCAATAAAATTGCTGATATGATGAAACTGACTTCATCTCATCTGTAAGTCAAAGCCTTCTACTTGTCAGCTAGACGCCATTCCTACAGTTTTGGTTAAGGCATGTCTGCCTTCTTTGCTTCCCCTCATGTCTGCTATCGTCTGTTCTTCACTTACCACTGGAACTGTTCCTGCTTCCCTCAAATTTGCTGCCATCACCCCAATATTTTAAAAAAAAATGGTCTAGATCCCAATAATTTTGAGAATTTTTGGCCTATTTCCAATCTACCATTCCTTTCAAAAATTCTTGAGAAAATAGTCGCCACACAACTGCACTCACATTTAACTAATAATAATCTGTATGAACAGTTCCTGTCCCGCAGCATTGAACCAGCACTTATAAAAGTAACCAATGATCTTCTTATGGCAGCTGACTCCGGTTTACTTTCCATTCTTATTCTCCTCGATCTGAGCGCTGCTTTCGACACTATTTCTCACTCTGTTCTCCTCAGTAGGCTAGCCTCCATCGGTCTCTCCCATACTCCACTAGCCTGGTTTAAATCGTACCTGTCTGATCACACTCAGTTTATTCAACTCAAATCCTTTACTTCTCAGCCCTTTCCTCTGACCACTGGCGTGCCCCAGGGATCTGTCCTGGGCCCCTTCTTGTCATTATCTACCTTCTTCCGCTCGGACATAAATATAACATCCAGTTTCACTGTTCTGCCGATGACACCCAGCTGTATCTGTCCACTAAACCTGACTCTGCTCTTCCCCCATCCTCCCTCACCCTCTGTTTAGCTGAACTAAATTCATGGTTCTCTTCTAATTTTCTCAAACTCAACAGTAACAAATCCGAGCTCCTCTTGGTCGGCACTAAATCTACATTATGCAGAACCAACAGTTTCTCTGTTACTATCAATAACTCGCCGGTCTTCGTTTCTTCCTCTGTGAAAAGCTTGGGTGTCATCCTCGACAGTACTCTATCTTTCAATTCAAACATTAATGATGTCACTTGGTCTGCATATTTTCAATTGCGCAACATTAATCGTCTCCTTCCTTTTCTCACCCCACATGCCGCTGCCATTCTTGTCCACATCCTTGTTACTTCCTGGATCGATTACTGTAATTCACTTCTTTTTGGTCTTACTCAAACATCCGTCCACAAGCTTCAACGCGCCCAGAAATGCTGCCCGTATCATCACCAGGACCCCTTCTGTCCACCACATCACTCCTGTCCTGCAGCAGCTTCATTGGTCAAATATCGTATCAATTTCAAAATACTCTTGTACACATTTAAGGCTATTCATCATCTTTCTCCTCCATATCTCTCTGATCTGGTTCAGATCACCGCCCCATCTCGATGTCTTAGATCCTCTTCTTCCCTTTCTCTCTCTGTCCCCTCCCCTCGTCTTGCCACCATGGGGAGCAGGGCTTTCAGCTGCTCTGCTCCACGACTCTGGAATTCTCTACCTCCTGATTTAAAAATTTCTCTTCCTTCACTCTCTCTTTAAGTCCCAACTCAAAACTCACTTGTTCAAAATAGCTTATCCCACATAACCTCTCCACTCTGCTATTGTAAATTTGTTTTATGTCCTATACTTTTATGCTGCTTTTTTTATTCTACTGTGTACAGTGTCCTTGAGTGTTCTGAAAGGTGCTTTCAAATAAAATGTTTAAATAAAATAAAATAATAATTATTATTATCATTATTATTATTATTATCATATCTTATGTTGCTTTACATAAGATACTTTACACAACAAAGTTCTATAAGTGCAAACTTGAGTAAAATCGTGCCAAAGTATTTTCTCCAGAGGCAAACATTACGTTTTTTGTGCTTTTATTCCACAAATGTATCTGTGTGAACAGTCTGACCTTTTTTTGTTATTTGCTTTCGGTTCCACATCTCATTTTTAGACTCAAACTGTATAGCTTGTGCACTTTGTATGCTATACTTGGCTCTCTAATGCATAAGGTGTTGTTTGGAACCTGCTGTGTCTGTCTGGCAATCAGGAGTGTGGCAATAAATCAAAGTCTAGATAAACATCTTCATCTTTAATGATGAAATTTTTGACACATTAACATTTATTAACATGTTGCATCAAGATCCTTCTCTATGCCCATGCTCACCTGCAGCGTATGAATAGCATGAAAACTGCTTTTGTTTGGCTGCTCTTTCTAAATACACTTCGCACTAAGTGAAGAGTGGCTAAAGTGGAATATAGAGTACAGTTTGATGTGCACATTTGTGTATCATACTTAGCTTGCGTGTGTGCATGAAGGTCTTACGTGACTCATTGTGGTAATATGTGCTCACAAATATCCGTGTTACACGCCTGAGATGTTGAATAACCATCATATGGGACTGTGTGAGTGGGTGTTTGTGTGTTTTTGAAGCTCTATCTTTCATTTTAGATTTATAGTAAGAATAAGAAGAATAAGAATAACTTGACATAACTGTGAATCAACCTCTTAATACAGTTGTAACTTGCGAGACTTATACTTTATCTTCTATAAGGTTTTGTAGCCCTATATATATGGAATATTTGCCAGCTGAGGAGCACCATGAGGATTAGATCCTTTATTGGATTTAATGATGTAAAGTGTTTGCACTTCAACATTACTTGATACTCTTCTTTTATCAATTTCATGCTGACAAATATGAGATTGGTCAGAATGCAAAGATAAATCTTTACCTCCAAAACCTTAAAAGTCTGAACACCTCATAGTCTGAACCTACTATGACTGTCCACAGAAAAAGAAACACACAGACAGAAAAGGAAGGAGGGAAAACTCTCTAACAGAATAAGCCTGTAAATTCAGTCCAGTACAACTTACCCAGACCTCTGAGCTCTATCCTAATGCTACCCATAATCTATAAACTCTATAAAAACTAAATAAGAACCAGAACTGAATAATGATAAGTCTTACTAGAAAGATAATGACATCAAAAACCTAAAATACACTTCGCACTAAGTGAAGAGTGGCTAAAGCGGAAAAAAAGTTCGATAAAAGTGTCATTGTATATTTGGCACATGACACCAGCTATCAGTCTGAATATCTTAATGTCACTTTCATATCAGAAACACAGAAAATCTTTGTCCAGTGACATCGCCGAAATATTTTTGAATGCAATGATTCCCTCACAGGAAAAGCTAACACCATACTACATGGAAACAATGCACATTAATAATCTTAGAAAAGGACTGGTACAAGTATCGTCAAAGCAAAATCTATCTTAACCTTGCAAGCTGGGAAGATGTGATAAATACAGCAGAATGGTCAGTTTATAATAAACAATGTGGATTCTAATTAATTAAGATAAGACTGAAAAAACAGTTTGTTCTGTCGCCTGAAGCATCATTGAAACCGTGAATATATAGCTGACTACATACGCAGCACTGCAGCCTCGCTTTGTCCATTTAAATTGACTAATAGCTGGTTTATAGTGTAGCATCACTGCTAGTGTAGAATGGTCATGTTAGGAGGATGTTTTTCTTTATCTAGTTCAGGGGATTACTCTAGAAAATTGCCTCTGTTAAGTTCATAAATAATCCCAACTGAGACGTGTGTGTGTGTGTGTGTGTGTGTGTGTGTGTGTGTGTGTGTGTGTGTGTGTGTGTGTGTTTCTCACCTCTGTAGTGCTCCATGCGAGTGTGGTGTGTGACTCCCTGTGATCTGAAGCTGAGGCTCAGGATGTACCGAGGGTCTGAGCTGTCACGAACCAGGAAGGATCCGTCTGGTTTACCCTTCAGCTTCATCTCCGCGTCCTCCCAATTCATGGGACCCCAGTACCAGCCGCACTGCAGGTTGAACCCCCACCCCCCCAATAAAAAACAAAGAACCCCCCCCAAAAAACAAACAAACAAACAAAAAAAACAGAGAAGCATTCTTAGTTATGCTTTTCTTTTCTCTGATCAATAACCTTTGGAAATAACCTCTACATAAACAGATTGTAAAGCCATCCCAAAAAACAGAAGACTTTGTACATTTTATGGATTTATAGGAAGTTACACTTTGTATAGTTGACCATACAATGAGAAGATACATCAATATCATCTTACCTTCTCCAGTTCTCTCAGACTGGCGGTGAAGTTGCTGGCTTCCGACCGCCGCAGGGCACACAGCATGGGGGGTGGGGCCTGTCTGATGGGGGGTAGAGCATCAGCTGATGATGGGTTGGAATGAGGAAGGGCCCGTAGGAAAGCATCTATATGAGAGATGTTAAAGGTGCCAGATGAAGCATTTTTAACATAAACATGTCTATACTACTAACTGACGCACATTAGCTGATTATAATGAGAGCGGGAAGTCACTAATCTCTGACCACAATTCCCATCATCCCTCGGGACAGATCTTACCATTGAGGCTGAGACTGTGCTGGATGGTAGTGTGGGAAGGAGGAGGAGGAGGAGGGAGAGGCAGAGGAAGAGACTGCAGAGAGGCGCCCATGACGCTCACTAGGAAAGGCCCAGGCTGGGGCCCGGCTATGTCGTCTGGAAGAAGCGCAGGAAGGAAGGGAGGAAGGCAAAGGAGGTAAATGAAGACAGTAGGGAGGAAGGAGAGAGGAACGACCGAGAGAAGAAGAAAGAGTGAGGAAGAGGAAAAAAGAAAAGGTGTTAGGAAAGGTGAAGGAAGGAAGGAGGTTTTGTCAGCACCATCGACAGAAAGTCTCAAGCTTGGAAATGAAACTTTACCACCTTTATAATTGACAAGTATTACACATAAAGACCAAAAACAACCATGCATTTATCCAAATCCTATGAGTGTAATCAAACCTAACACATCCTGCTAGGTTGTCTAAAAACTATTAAATCAAAAAAATACATAAATTAATATGCAAACAAATGCAAAACAGGGTATTAAAAATAAGTGCAGGCATTATTTAATAAAATGTCCATTTACTTCTGGTGTGTGTAATGTATATTCTTTTCCATTATTTATTTGTATTCTAATATATCAATCAATCAATCAATCAATCAATCAATCAATCAATCAATCAATCAATCAAGGCTTTATTCGCCACGTGCAGGTTGCCCTGCGGTGAAATAGGACCCCCCTCCTGACCTTACACACACAACACAGACATCACATGGGGATACAGGTCGGAGATCGGTAGCGTTACAGAAAAACACTGAAATGTACACTACAATGGGAAAGTACAAGAGGAAAAAAAGAGACCTCTACTCATGCTGTGCTTCCATGGTAGGACAGCATGAGAACAGGAAACAAAAAAACTCCTCTGCACAAAAAAGCACATAAATGTCCACAGCACAACATTATGGAACCTGTGACAAGCCACAGGGTGGAGTGGGGGGTGAGGAGTAATCCGACTCAAGCACAGCAGCCATCCTGCCCAGCGCCGAAAGGGTGTCCGCATGAAGTGATGGTGCTTTTTACTTTAGTGCGAACAGCTCATGTGAATTTCAAAGCTGTTCTAACAGTCCAACACTGGTCTCTCAATCTCGCGTTGGAGAGCCGTGAGCTTCTCCATGATGTTATCAAATTTGCCTCTGTGATGTTGTCATTCTTGTGCTCAAAGAGCCGATTCTGAGAACTCACGACCACAGTGAGCCTCCCCAAGATGTAATCCAGTTGGCACTCAGAGGTCTTGTTCTATTCACAGCAGCCGTAGCCTCTCCAAGATCTTATCCGTGCTGACTCAATGAGCCCATTTTGAGAAACTCACACCTCTTCCCATCGTTTCAATCCCAGCGGGCAGCCTTGTGGGGGTTTGAACAGCCGGTTCCGCTTTCTTAATTCTTCGATAAGTCAGGGCCAAGCCAGCTCCGATCAGCCAGAACCCTGTTACCATGGTTCCGAATAGGTAGATATCTTCAGCACTCAGGCTCACCCAAGCCCAAACTTCTCGTTGAGAAAGGGGTGTCAATTGCATTTAGGGACCAGTTGATCAAATCCATAATTCCTCTTTTAGGTTTTAGAGAACAGACTGTGAGAGAGTGTTCCAGGGAAAAGTAATACAAAAAACACGAGACTAGACAAGGACATAAGAGGCTAAGCAGGGAAGCTAAGGGAGAGGAGGAGGAGAGGAGAAAAGTGCGACCGCCTTCGTCAAGAGCATATATATATATATATATACATATATATATATATACATATGTATCCTCTTATTTATGTGTTGTTGGGTTTTTTTGTTTAGTTCACCTCGCAGCAGTAGAAAACATCATCTACCAGTCAGTACAAACTGTATTACCAAAAAACAAAGTCAGTGGAAGTAAAAATAGACAAACAGGAAGACTAAATGTTTTTCCCTCTTCTTTGCTATCGATTGAGTCACTGCATCCAGATTTCAAATTAAATCTGTAGATTGCTGTTGACCTTTCAAAAGCTTCCACAATCAGATTACAGCAGATTATAAAAATTCGTCTGTGTCTTAGTTTCCAGAAATGTCCGGCGGTAACCAAAACTACTAAGCAAGACAGAAATATTAAGAGAAACTGCCTGGGCTTCAATTCCATCTGAGCTATAGCCCAACTGCAGTGAAGCTCTCTGAAACCAAAAGCTTACAAAGGTTTGTTTTTTTATGGGCTTTATACTTCATGGATACTGTAAGTGAACTACTACTATTGGAAGAAGACGAGAAGAGAAACAGAAACTGACAGGAAGTAGAGAAAAGTACCTAAGAGACTGAGACTTCGACGAGGAGGGGGTGGAGGTGTAGGTGGGTGTGGGTGTGGCGTATTCGCCCCTCGCCGTGAAATATCCACATCCACTAGAGAAACGGTCTCACCTGAACACAGGAGGAAGAAAAGATAAGAAGAAATTGAGAGAAAGAGGAAAGTGAGCAGACGGTAAGACAGTGAAAGGGGCTGTGCTTTGTGAACCTGTAACTGTGTGTTGTTTTGTCTGTGCTGCAGCATGCCATTAAAGCTGCACCAGGCAGGATGTTTATGGAAAATTACACCCAGCTAATCAGCCTAAATCACTACAATAAAGGAGAACATCCCATCTCAGCTAATTGAAATGCTGCACATTCAATGTTTACCGAAGTCAAACCCTACAGTAGGGCATGGTTGCTGGCAGCGAAAGAAACAAAATCAAAGGGTTAAGAGCCAAACCCTCAAGAGCAGAAAAAGCTGGACTTGCCCACATCCAGTCTCAGCCACCAACATCGCTTTAGCTCGCTTTTTGGTTGTGAAACATCACATACAGGCTGGGCTGGTAAACATGAGCAAGCCATGGGCACGGCTTCAGGGTTTTGAAAGTCCCCAAGATTTCAAACGAATCATCCTCACAAACTCTGCAACATGAAGCAATGCTGGGTGCAGCTTTAATGTTTTGGTCTAATTGGAGGTTGTGAAGCTTGTGCTCACAAACTCCAAAAATTCTCAGTCTGTGAGTAATGTGGGAGACTGCATAGAGGGAACGTCAGAGGCCGCCATAGGTGCTGAATCAAGTTTTGCCTTATGAGCCACAAACCTTCTCTCCCTTTTTACCTTTGTGTTAAATCCGCTTTTATCTACTGCACCAGTTGCAGTTTTAGCATGTAGTGTTTTGGTAAATTGTGAGATGACCATGTTGGGGTCTCACTGACATCATAAAGCTCCAAAAGTAGAAAAAAAACTGAATGAAACTGAGCATTAGATCTTTTTGAAGACTGAGATTTGTAGCCACAGATATTACTTTTATATACAATTACATCATTATCTGAAGCATGGAAAAAAGAACACAGCAGGTAACTTTAACAACATTTGGTCTCACTATACAATCCAGCGTTATAGGATCTACTTCATGATTTATAGTTGTAAACACTCGTCATACTTAATATCTAATCTCAACACGTAACATAAAAGCACTTTATATCAGGTTCATGTTGACTCAGTTTCACATTCTACTGCCCCAAATGCTTTCTACAGCACTCGCTTCTGTCAGTCTGACCCAGGGCAGCTGTGGCTACAACTGTAGCCTCCACCAGTGTGTGAATGTGAGAGTGAATGAATAGTGGCATTGTAAAGCTCTTTGGGGGCCCCGAAAAGCGCTATATAAATCCAATCCATTATTATTATTATTATTATTATTATTATTATTATTATTATTATTATTATTATTATATGTGGCTTAATCTGCACTACTACAAGTGCACTACTTACTCCTGTCTAAATAACTTGTGCTTAAAAACGCAGGGCCAGCTGTTTTTTGGACTTATTTACAAGTTGATAAAATAAAACTACATTTGTGAACATTTTACATCTGCAGTGGGAATTAATGAGTTTGGATCAGTAATTCAAAGAAGTTTGTCATTTGGAGTGAAATGTGCTTACTTGTTTCTCTTATCTTGCAATGTTTGTCCAAAAAAAGTTAAAAGGGTGAAAGAAAGATATAAACTGTCTAATTTCATTCTTATGACTTGCTAACTGTGCATATAGGATGGAAATCATAGACTTTATAGGGCTTTTCGTGTTATACATTTGTGCTAATCTTGGCTTCTTGTATCAGCTTCTTGGATAGAAATGAGACTGGAAGTGTCTTCCAGTGTATCCTTGGACTGCCTGGCTTTGGCATCAAGCTAACATTTTTACTAACATGTGGAAGTGTTCCACCATTGTAACATAAGATTGTTCTTCTTATGTGTTTTGGGTGACAGACTGGATATGTTTGACAGGTATGTGTGATTTTATTAAGAAAAATATTCCCCAAAAAAGTTCTAAAACAAACTCCAGACTCAGCTTTAAATTAATCTTCAGACTGTCACATTACATCATTTCATCTTTCAGAAACAGGACCCTGTTTTGGAGGAGGATTATATTTTTGTGATGGGATTCAATGTGAAAATTTCAGATATGTACAGAAAGAGAAGGGGTTATGTGAATTAGTTACTACAAATTAACGTCAACGATAGTAAAGGCAGACATGAAGAATTTTTAAAATTTTAAAAAATTGTAATTTTGTTATTTATGCTGAATGTTTTTAACTTCATCTTAATAGGTAAACTGTCCGTAGTCACTGAAAACAATATTGATCATATTATACTGTTTTTTTTTTTCATTTAAATGATCAAAAGAGACCATTTTCACTCAAGCCCCACCCACTTGCTAATTAAAACTCCTTTCTAATGAGCAGTAGCCAATCAGAAGAAAAGTGGCTTAAAACAAGATTGTTCTTAAAGGTGTAGGTGCTAAAACAGCTTGTCTTATGAGTTGCACCAACACTCAGTGCAAGATGAAAAAGGATTGTTTAAAACCTCCCAAGTAACATCCAAGAATAAAAATATAGAGCTGGAAATGAGCATAATATGTTCCCTTTAAACATCCATTGTTTAGTTTTATCAGCCCCAAAGCCTAAAGTAGATTTTAAGGTTAATTACCAGCTTAAACAACATGTGCTTCGATTCAAAGTATGAATGGTTTGCCAAATGGAGCTGAAGTTGTGTAATTATTGCAGCAAAGAGTATATCTGCTCGTCTTTTCTGCTGCAACTTAACTGGTGAAAAAAATAAAACTTAATATCTTAAAGGCTCCTCATGTGTACAGTCACTGACTCTGGTAAATCACACCTCTGCTCAGGTTATTGTTGGATGTGCCAGGAGCTTGACACAACATTCCTCCGTTTTGTCGCTTTTATGTGACAATAAACTGAATATTTTGACGTGGTTGTGGCTTCTTTCTTTTTTTTCTTTTTTTCTTTTTTTGGAAAAAGGAGTACATTCAGAATTCATACATTTCTTTCTCAAATTAACAGTTATACTATTATGTTGATTATTTACAAGCTTATCAGAAGGTTTGGGTGATGGATATCAGAGGGGTTTTCCTCTTTGAGCACAAAGCTGTGAGAGAAACAAAACCAAAGCCAAAGCAACCCTTACCAGTGAAAGTTGAGAGAGAGGCAGAGAGGGAGGCTGGGGAAAAGGCACTGTGGGCCCTGGTCAGTCTGGGCTGGCTGTGGCTGCAGAAGAAGAAGAAGAAGAAGAAGAAGAAGAAGAAGAAGAATTATGAGAAGAGAATTAGATTGCAGAAGAAGTATTAGTGCAGTCTCTGCTTAGCTTTAATAGTGTGTGGGTCCTGCAGCTCTATCTCTCTCTCTTTTTGCATTTTCTGTTTGATGCTCTTAGCTCCAGCACTAAAGACTTCTAAAGCTATGTTTTTTAATCATAGCCTGCCTTCAGTGTGCTGCTGTGAATAATGACTTAGCTGTGAAGACAATAGAGGGTGACAAGCCAGAAAGGTTAGAACAAAATCTCAGCATCTAATAACATGTAGCACCAAAAAGTTCTAAAAGAAAGATCTGGCAGATGAGAGAGTTCAAGCCTCTGGAAATCAATGTTCAGCTTACAGAAAAGGTTAGGATGTTTCACTGGCCGAAATTTAATAATGGACTTCCTATTTCGTATGTTAGGTTAGACTTTTTAAGTCTCTGGCCTACATGTATTAAGACAGCTTTTATGTTTTTAACTTGCTATGTTTACTTGTTCTGACCCTGACAGAAGATCTGTTTAGGATTTCTTACCTGTCTGCATCCTGCTCAGCACCCGCTGCACACGCCATGTCCACCAGACTCCCGGCAGAAGATACTGAATAAGTCACTGAGGGCCTTTTGTCCAAAAGGTGACTGGAGCCGCTGCAGCTTTTAGTCCGGAACAATTTGCTCAGTCTGATCTTTAACGAGCCCTTTTTTGACTTCCCTGGAACTTTGAGCATCTTTTCCCCGCCCGTGGCCCTGCCCGTGGGAGTCCGGGGCGCACTGGCGCACCGCTCCGGCCGCCTTCTGGGTGTCGATGCCTGGCTCAGGTTCGGGCTTGTGGCCCAGGGCGAGCTCTGGGCCGGGGTAGTCGACGATGACTTGGCTGAAGCATGCGTGACAACCTCTGTATTCCCACAGCTTACCTGCGAGAGCCGGCCGGATAAGTTCCCGTGGAGCCTGCACACCTGCGTGGCAATGTGCGCCGCAGCCGCTGCTTCTGTCGCCGTCTCCTCCACCTGCCTCCTCAGTTCCACTTGAAAACTGCTGATGGAGAAAGCCCCGGACATTTTCTGAACTATTTCCCTTTTCCTGTTGAGTAAAAACTCCCGGCGTCCGTTTTCATCATCTGCATCATCCTCCGGACACTCGTCCATGTCCAAACCGTCAACGTCCCCGTTCCCCAGCCCTTCCAGCACCAACAATGCGTCGCTAGTCTCTGTTGGGTCATCGCCGGGCTCTACTCCCCCTCCTGCCGGCCTATGTGCACTCTGACACGAACAGTGTGGGAGCTCGCCTGCTTTGAACAGCATTTTGGGTACCGCGCCAACCCCAAGCTCCCCGAACCGCCGGGCCAACTCAAACACGGCTCCTTCCCTGTCCCTGGTGGCGCATCCCCATTTAGAGTCAATCACGGTGAGAGGGTTAGATCTCTCCGTCAACACGGGCCACTCTGGCGTAGTGGCGATGAGTCGATGCCGGTGGCATAGCTCAGCCGCTCCCTGCATCTCCACAGAGGCTGGCGAATGCGCTCCCCATGTCCGGTCTAGCAGGTTCTGCTGCTGCTGCTGAACCTCTCTGACACTCAGAGTGTTGTTATTGACCGCTGGGCTGGAGCAGCCAGATCCCGGGCTCTGATCCAGAGCATCCCTCGGCTGATTCCGACGGTCTAATTCCAAAATCCCCTCTCCGTTCCGCATTATATTGGAGAAGACTAGCAACTGAGGCCGTAGGCCGGGGCTGGGAGCGAAGTCAAACCCCTGGGCCTCCATGGAGCTCTGCGGCGGCGGAGGCGCGGACAGTGTGGCTCGGCTCTCCGTCACCCCAGAGTCAGGTGCAGCCGTGCCCTCGGTGCTCGGCTGTGCTTTGTTCAGGTGGCTGCTGGGATGCTGGAGGCCCTCCGTTGGATCTCGGCTTATATCCAAACCCGCTTTGACGGCGCTGTGAGCCAGGACCTCCTTCCCCAGCCCTGCCACCACTCCTCCCGGCGGCAGATTCCCGTTTTCTGCGTCCAAGCGGTCATCCTCGGCCACGGAAACCAGGCGCATCAACACAAAATCGGGCGACATATCTTGAGCGTTGTTCATAATTGTTCGTCAGGATCACGAAACGAGAATTGCTAGGCGATCTGCTCTTCACATAGCTAACCGCATAGATCTCGCTCCTATAATAAAGAAAGGACCAAGCCGCTGCTGCCTCCCATAAATAGGCTATGAGCGAAAACGTTAAAAAAATATATCAGGCGATGTTTTCATCCTCCTCCTCCTCCCCTTCGCCAACGCAGCGTCCGTTAAATATGTTGAAGAAATGCGTGCAGTTTGCTCCGGGCAGCAGGCGGACCCCTGGGTCAGACATGCGGTCTGATTTCAGTAGAATAAAAGCCAGCAGAGTCTCCGGTCAGTGACCACAGTCTGCCTCTCTGTTCCGAGCCAGGCCCCACCCGCTCCTCCTCCGCTCAGCCCATAATATCACTTTATGATGAGAACCATAAATTCGACGACAGCATCTTAATATCACAGGGTTGGCCTATCCAGCCTCACATCTGAACAACTGATTTTTGGTTTTCCGTCTTCATAAGGGGACGAGGGAAATATACAAATAGCCTACAGGCTACACATGTGTTTTCCCCCTTCCCCCCCTAGACATTAGTACAGCTCTTAAATGGAATTCAAAGACAAATAGAAACGCCCTCAATATTTTCATAAAGAGGTTGTTGTAAGCCCGAATCTATTAAAGTTGCTTTTAGTAGATTTTCACAGGTTATCAGAATATTTAATAAAAAAAAAAAAGCAGTGTGGAAATGTGTGCAGAAACACTAGGAAACAATTTCACGCTCCTTATGCTCTCATGAAGATGGATTACCCTTTTATTTATGAAGTAGCAAACTGTGCAAAAGTTTTTGCGCCAAAATGGACTTGAAGTACCAAAATTAAAAGTAGTCATTATGCAAAATATCCCTTATCAGAATCATATTACTGGATCATAATTATTGACTCATTAATGCATATATGATTTTAATGTTGCACCTGCAGATGATTTCAATCATTAATGCTATGTAATAATACAGCATCATATGATTTATATCTTGAAATCTGCAAATTAATAACTAATACCAATAATATACTGAAAATAAACAGTATGTACAAAGAACAATATTTGCTGAGATGAACAGTACACCAGGTGGGTGACATTAGGGGACCAGTGCCACCCCATGGCACTCCTTCTGGAAGAACCCCTGACAGATATGTGCCAGGCATGGACAACAGGTTCTCCGAAACAAAGAACAATGATTCCCTATATTTATCTCAGCAGTTGGTTCAGACCAAAATAGAGGTAAAACTAAGCATGTGTTGGACCTATGCTGGAACACAAAGTAGTCTTTCATGTCAAACTTGGCCAAAGCGTCTTACTGCATTTGTCTTCGCTCCTGGCAGTGATCACAAGAGGTCCTTGTCAGGAGAATGTAAACATAGGTTGTTGTTATTTCACCTCAAAGATGAAACGCAGCGTTTAGGGATATCCACATGTTCTCCAGTTCTTTCAGTTATTGACTGCAAAAGATTGTCATTCAGTCATTTTATTAAAAATTCTGTTAGTTTGTCCAATTACCTTTGGGTCTCTAAAATGAGAGATGTAGCTCTTAAACTACTTATTAAAGCACACAGTCTACACTTAAGAGTTACAAACAAAGTGTAATTATCCAGATACTGGGACTTCACAGTATCTGCTTCGAGGAAGGGTTTGTAAGCCTTACTCACATATAGCTAACAAAATACAAAAGAAGATTTCAAATTACTGTCTGCAAACTAGGAGAGTTTAAAAAGAGCATTCATTAAACAGAAACAATAAAATAAGAACTGGGTTCATATTCTTACTGGAGTCTTGTCACCAGTACCTATCTTATAGCTCTTATCTAATGAGATGCTGGAAAGACAACGAGTTCCATGTGGCACAGTCCCAGATATCTGATGATGAAGACCCACTTAAGAGCAAGTTTATTCAATCTTCTGACAGAGTGCCACTTTTTACATAAGGTTGTGTGTCTTATTGTTGGCTTCATCCCACAGATTCAGACAGTGCGGTCACCCTATTACATTTGATTAGCAAGTGAAATAGGGTGACTGTAAGCTGCTGTAGCACATGGCAGCTCCTCAGCTGACTGATAATGGCAGGTCTAATAGCCAGCAGTATGCACATGGAGACTATCCAAATATACCCTGGTGCTAATTTGGCTTAGTGAAGTTTAAGTGGGAATTACAGAGACAACAGCAATGGATGATGTCCGAGGGGAAAAAAAGAGAAAACTACAAGGAAAGAGCTAAAAATAAAAGTTAAATACAAATAATAAAGTGGAAAAAGAAGAAGCGGATGGAAAACAACGACAGATGATAATAACTGCCTTTTTAAGTGAAAAGTTTTAACAGTAAACAACATCCCAACACCTCACTGTGAAACAGGGCTTTGCCTTTCCTGCATGTGCCACTGATACATGTGAGGCAGTAGAAAACCAAATTAGCCAGTAATAAAACAGGAATCCAACCAGAACAGAAACACCTGCCCAGTGTAAAGCAGCTGTGAAAATATGTAAAGAACAGACACACATGCAGAGGTTCCTAAATGTATTAGAGACATTTGTCCCCTTCAAATTAAGCTGCCATCCACAAGGAGTAGAATAGCAAACAGGCCAAACCCACACACCTTTCTTTCTAAGCTGAGTGTCCCATTCCAGCTCCAAACAACACTGTTAAAGTACCAAGGGCATGTTATTTAAGGAAGCAGTTAGATAACAGAACAAAAAGCCATAAGTCCATAACAGGTTAAAGGACAACTGATATTTTAATTGATACGCATCTTAAAAGTGAGGGGACATAATTATCGATGTTTACAGCATTACCCTCATGGTTGCTTTACCTTTCACATGGAAATATCTCAGTGCGGTTTGCTACAGAAACTGTTTTGGCTTCTGATACTCGTTTAAACAAAACCATGAACCTTCTCTAACCTTAACCGGTGTGATTCTGGTGTCTGTACTGCCACTGACAGAGGTCTGGATGTCAACCTTGGTCGTAGTTGTGTATTTTGTATATCTGCCATCAAACCCAAGTTACCCAGCCAGTGATTATGCTACTGCTGAAGCATTTCCATGGAAACAATAATGATATTGTAAATAATACATAAATATAATTTCTAGAAGACAGGTTTGCAAAGGTTTTAATCTAATATTAAAACACTGCACTATGGTTCATAATACTCACAAAAACAATCCAATAATTCAGAATAGTTATAATAATGATGAACAGCAGAACAGTTACAGTTACAGATACAGTTTTCTTCAAGGGAACAAATAGACCCAAATCAAAATGCCCAAACACAGCATGACAGAGCCGCTGGATCCACTCACTAATCCGGTGGTCAGTCTTCCTTTTTCATTTAAAAAACTGAGCTATGCTGCTGTTCTGTTAACTTTCAGTATGTGAAAACTTTGCAGTAAATGCTGAAGACTGCAGTCGTTTTATCATTTTTGATTTGAATACTTACGAGCTAACCTTCTCACAAAGGCCGTGCTAACATGCTGATGATATAAGGGCTCAGACTTTGGACCACAGACTGTGTATCAAAGATGGCTATAGCCACAGTTTCCACTTCTGATGCCAATGTGGAAGTGACTTAAACCTGAATCTCACTAATGGGGAGCAGGGTGCAGTCGAAATAAGAACTGAATGGAATATAAATCCATGTAAAAACAACCTTTTGGCTCCCTTGCTCTATGATCTCAGTAAACAAGTTCCTGTTGGGTTTATAGTTTCAAGTCTTGATGATGATGTTTATTTTATACAGTCTGGTCATATGTAGGATTAATCATTTAGAAAGGCAACTTTCTCATCAAGTCTGGTTAGAAAATACTGAGATCCCTGAAGTACTCAGACTGAGGATTTGCAACATGATTTCACTAACCAAAAGCATGATGTCATGGTGTTAGTGGCCATCTTTTATTTACGCTCTATGAGAGATCACCATTATTGTGACTATAAGCACAATATTTAGGTTTTTTTTACTCAGGTATGAATCATCTGCAGGATACCACAAATGTTTGTACAAAATGTCCCTATTTTAGTTATTCTGTTCTCTTCTGCAGGGGGTTGGGGCCTATTCCAGCTAGCAAAAAACAAGAGACAGGGGTACACCCTGAACAGGTCCCTAACACAGAGAGACAAAGAGACAAACAACATGTATGGACTGTGGTAAGAAGCCATAGTACTTGGAGAGAACCCACACAGACACAAACTGATGTTTTAAGAAAGGCTAGCCAACAAACCAAACTAACATGCCGTTGTGTCTCCACCTCAACCATTACCTGACCCTAGAATTAAAGTTAGAGCCTGCACACACAACAACAAACACACTTGATGCAGTAACAGAAATACAAGTACAAACATGGAACTGATGATTATGTCAGTAACAACAGACATTTGATTGGTTTAATTTAAAATGTTTGGTGTGGAAATGTTCATTTTGTGAGTGCCCTAATAACCATCCTAGTAACTGCTACCAGCCCATATCTGTGTGTTATGAGCTGTCAATGAGCTATGCCAATGACATTTTCCAGTTCTAAATGTCATACACGATAAGATGCGGACTGTATTGAGAAGTGGTGCGACAAAAGTAAATATGTAGAAATATATATCTTTGTTTAAATGAAGTGTAGTATGAACACAGCAGTAGCTTTAAAACACTGAACAAAGCGCTCCAAAGACGCAAACCTCCACACTGACTAGCAGTGTTGTATTAATGCTGTGAGACAGGCAGATGGCGCTGCAGGTCATTCTGTAGTGATAGATGACGCTGCTGCTGAGTGCAGATAATGCTAGGAGAGTGGATGAAGGCCCATTAATCCTTACAGTGTGTGTGTGTGTGTGTGTGTGTGTGTGTGTGTGTGTGTGTG